AAGTAAAAACAAACTAAAAACTACTTCCAAAAACATTCAGCTTTGATATTAATGAGTTTTTTGGGTTCATTGAGAACATGGTTGTTGTTCAATAATAACATTATTCCTCAAAAATACAACTTGCCTAATAATTCTGCACTCCCTGTATAGCACATGGAATAATACTTCATATTTTAAAAGGTTTGTTTGGGTTGGTCACTCATGTTTAGATTCTGTGAGTGGGTTACCAGTGGACAGCCTTACTTATTTTGCTTTGGCCAGTTTTGCTTATCTTGTTTTGGTTTTTTTTGTGTTTTTTTTTTGTTTTTTTGCTTTGGCCCTACCTTCATGTGTTTTAACTACCAGCTGGCCTGCTGGTCAGGTTCTTATTGTCCTTGACCCTTGTCCTGGATTGCTGTTGACTGATTTCGAGATTTACTCACCGTTGGAGTGCTACTCCAACCAGGACTTAGAGCAGATAGAAAAGTGCTAAAGCTCTTTGAGACTGCAGAACAAGGAGCTGCAGTCCAAGCTTCCTGGAGATGGGGCTTGTATTTCTTCATTATGTGTAAACAAAAATACATTAAATAAATAAAAAAATGCTCAAATCTATGCAGAAACATTTATTTCTTCATTTGAGAAAACGTGCGCTTCCTTACGCAGCACAGGCAAACACTTGTACTCTGACAGTCTCCTTTATAAATACAATCATTATTTCTACTTGTTAAAAATCTAAAGTATAAGCAGCAGTGATCTCTCAGCCTGTATAGTTTGTACACAGGGCCAAAGGAAACTCATTTTATTGGTTATTTTATTTTAAGAAGCCACACCCACATATTTATAGCCGTGCTCACGTTCAAATCTCACACCCTTTCTGTCTCTCCCACCGCATCACTGAGTCATCATACATTGCTCGTGCTGAGTCACTTTTTATCGGCAGAGAAACACAAAAAAATGCGAAACACTATCTGTAAGAAAGTTACCGTACTCACCTGCGCTGATTCATCCAAACAGTTGCCACAGCCAGGAGATTCCCTAAAACAGTGAGTAGAGTTTGGTTTCATCACGTGTCACCTTAAATACCTTACAGGTGTGTGGGCACGTCAAGCACGAGACGACACTTACTGTGTGAAATATTTATATTCTTTTTTTTTTTTTTTTTTTTGCTAAATATGTTAAATTAGGTCATTCTGATTGGTTCCTTTTTTTTTTTTTTTTTTTTTCCCTAGATGGATGATATTTTGTGTTCTCCTTGTTGTGCAGGAATATGTTCGAGGACTGTGCGACCCAGAACTGCAGAAAGAAGAGCGGTACCCGGTGGATATGCACTGTATCTTTGCTGGCGCCAGGGGCCTTTTTTTGGACAGGCTCATACGGGACACGAGCGCTGAAGTTCTGGTGCAAGAGCCGGGCTGCCTGCGGCTGTTGGGTCGGGCTGAGCCCGTGGTGATGGCTCAAAGCAGAGTTCAGCAGTTTGTAGCACTGTTCCAAGTACGAGTCTTGTTATCAGACATAGTTTCATTCTGATTCTGTAGTAGTTACGTGACTCCAGGGGGGTCATTTATATTGTGGAAAGCTGATGAATAGTTGTAAATAAAATGTGAAGATTTAACAGTCATTTGAAATTATTTAAGAAGGAGTACTCTACAGCATGTCATACCACACGCTCAAGTGTTTTTGTGTTTTGTCCAGGAGAAGCGAAGTCTACCATGTGACACAGAACCAACAGTAAAACGAGCATTCAAGTCCTTCGTGGAGGAAAGGGACGACAAGTACACTATGGAGCTCTTGCTGCTTCCCAGTGCGCTGAAGGAGGAGTTGCTGGGACTTGTTCACACCCCTACAAACACAAACACCTCTTCTCTGGTTAGTGTGAACATTTTCTGGCAGCACGTAGAGCATGACCACTGTGACCAAAGAGTTTTTGATGACAACTGCAAATTTCAAAGAGAATAAGCTGCTGTGGGTAGTTGAGATTGTAGCCTTGTGCTATAAGATTTAATACTAAGATTTTAAAAAGTTTTTCTGATGCATGACTGGTATTATTTTGTGTTCAACCACACCTCGACCCAAAAATATACCTCTGCATTCATTGATTTGGTGTAAGCAGCTTAAGTTTACAAACTGGTCTGAAAGTCAAGGTGGGAAGGTATGGTCAATAAGAAGAAAGTTAACTTTAAGGTCATGTGTAATAAAAGGCGTTTTTATAGTGTTATTATATTTTTATAAACTGTGTAGAATTGGCTGTTAATATCTGCTGACATTCTTCTATGTCCCAGCAACAAGATGCTTCCCAGCTTTACAAGTCAGTAAGAATTTCCCCCCGTTTTTACTTAGAAAACTGGTAAGCTATAGGCATTGAGCTAAAATCAGTCTCACCCCCTCACTGCTCACTTCCATTGTGAGTGTGAAGGGGAGATTTACTAACACAGATGCTAAACATACTGCCAGCCCTGGCTTTGGGTGGGTGGGTTATTCAAAGTGTTTTTGAGGGATAGGATCATTGTGAATCATGCATAGTAGTCCCCCATTAACCATGTCTCTTTGATATGTTTAGAGAGCATAACTGGTGCTCTTAAACTTTCGTGATCATGCTGCAGAATTACAAATTTGGATCTGCCACCAAAATGTTGAATTAGTTATTATTTTATATGAAGCTTGTTTTAGTTTTAAAAAATATGACTTCAGTGTGAATTATTTATTTATCAACAAGTTAAGAGCTTCATTGTACTTTTAGGTATTTAGAAATCATGTTTTACCAACGTATGAAGTAAGAGAGAAGTTGAAGAACAAGTTGAATGTTTTTGAAAGTCACACACTAAGTACAATCGAAGACGTCATTTCTGGCATCGGGAAGAAGAACCACGTAAAGCACACTGGAAAGTACAATAGGAACGTTGGCTATGGCAAGCATTCCAGTTTGAGAGGAACTTTTATTGTAGTTTCCTAACTGAGGCAACAACCACTGTGTTTCCTTCCCCAGACTCAGCTCAACCAGATGCTCCATCCAAGCATGTCGGAGGTTGACCAGGACCGCTCACAGAGCAGCACCCCTGTGACGGAGCTCTCCAACCGCATCCTGGACACTAGTTTTGAGGAGCGAGGGACCACGCCATCATCTCTTGGCGGAGGCAGTAAACCAGCAGGTGGAATCGGTTTAGGTCCCGAGGCAGTCCTGCATAACAGCAATCGGCCCACGCACAAGCGGCGTTCGTCAGGCAGTGAGACGCGGGATACAAAGAGACAGTACTCTCTGGAGCGGAGGGAAGAGTCGCCGGAGAGAGCAAGAGAAAGGGAGCGACAGAGGGACAGAGAGGGCCGGGGGGGCGGTAGCAGCTGTAGATCCAAAACCCCCTCTGCTTCGTCGTCCCTCTCCTCCTCAGCGAAGGCAAATACCGTATCTGGGCCCATCATGCTGGACTCTGCTGAGGGTGTCTCGGATGAGGGAGAGGCAGTCAGCCCAGAAACCAACCTCCGCTGCTTGGTCAATTTTTTCAGGTAAAGTTCACACTAGTCAAATGTTTCCAAATGAATTCCTTGGATTTATATTAGAACTGTTTGGAATTATGGTGGTCATCTTTGGGGTCTAAAGACGACCACCATAATTTGAAACGTGGTCAGTTTTTCTTTGTTTTACATTACAGTAAGTCGAATATTACCTGGAATGAAGGATATTGTGATGGTTTTGTTTTATTGATTAAATTAACACACTCGTTGGAAGAATTATTGCTTATGAATATAATAATTAGTTGAAATCTTAATGAAGAATAGATTTTGTATTTGAACAGAGCTCACATATGCTTATGTACATATAAGAGACCTGCTGGTTGTTGTCCTGGTTGATGAAACATTAGGTCATGACCGTACGCATACAGTACAAAAATACATGTGGATGTTCAAATTAAAGTAATACAAAGGTTCAGTGATCCAGTTGAATCAGATCGAGTGGCTAACTGTTGAGTTTCACTGTGCAGTGTTCCTTAGTCATTTGTGGTGAGATTATAATCGACAATGACAATAAATAAATACTTGACTACTTGACTTGATAACAGAACGAGTCAACCTCACGTACCCTTTTCAGACACGCCCCCCTTTTCATTGATCTCTTAATGACTCCTGTCTGAATGTGCAATCCAGTCAGCTTTCCCTTAAAGCCGTGATGACTAGGTGGGACATAACATTTATACGTTACGTTCAACTCCATAATGTTTGAATGAAGAGAGGCAGACAGCATGTCTGGGACGAGGTCACGTTTAATGAGCCAATTTGGAAAGTTGTAGCTGAAAAGTTGATTCTGTTTACCTGGACGTTTTCAGTGGGAGAAACGTTTTGTCATCATCAGGTGACTTCTTCAGTCTCAGCTGACTGCAGGTTCCAATCTTATAAGTACATTTGCGCAATGGCTGAAACCAGCCCACTGAAGGAACAAAGGGCTGGGAGGTCAGTTCCTTGATCATTAATATGCAAATTCTCATAACCATTGATCAACAACCACTGATCAAAGCTCATCCTGGGTGACTGAGCATGCATCAAGATGTATTACATGGCACTGGATTAGATTCAGGTGGGTAAGTTATCTTACCTCAGTAGACTCAGTAGGGTAGGGTAGAGGTCGGGGGTTCAAATACACCAAACAGCTACCCTGAGGCACCCCTGAGCAAGGTACCATCCCTACACACTGTTCCCTCGGCACTGGATTGGCTGCCCAGTGCTTCACTGAGTGAATGGGTTAAATACAGGGAGTAATTTCCGTACAGGAGATTAATAAAGTATACAAAACAAAACAAAAAACTCTACTGCTGAGCGGTTCGTCAGTATGAGCTGTGACAAGCATCGACAGAAAGGTGAGCCGTGTCTGAACGACACAATGAACCCAGTAATGTTACTTGATTTGTTTGAGTTTCTCTTGAACTGGAATTGAATGGCTCTCTTTACAGCCATTAAAGACAAGCGGCTGCATTATAGCCACCAGTAATGTAACATGCTACAAAATCACATTTTCCCCAGAACCATGGGTTACCAGCAGGAAGTGGTGGAACGTGTTGTCAAGGCAACAGGACAGACGGAAGATACCTTCCTCGTCCTTGAGAAAATTGTGGAGGAAACTAAGCGTTGTGAAGAGAGCTTGAAAGGAGGGGAAAAAGAAAGAAGACTAAACTCTGTGCGTACCTCAGATGCTCGCTCTTCATCGTCATCCGTCTCTACAGCCTCCTGCTTCAGAGAGGAGCTCGAGCTGAGCAGGCTGTCGGCGGACCCAGGGAGATCTAAAGAGAACATCAAGCCCAACCAGTATGGAAGCAGCAGTAATGGGCTTGGGCACAGGAGGCAGTGCAGCGGCAGCGAAACAAGCACTCAGCAGGTACTTGACAACTTACAATAACTCACTTCAGCTTTACTTCTTTGTCTCACAGAGACAGACATAGAGCCAAAGGTCTAGCTGTAGCGTGCGATCCTGTCTTCACATGTACATCTTCTATATTATTCTCTCTGCTTCTTATTATCTTTCATCTTGTTCTCTGATACCTTCACCTGAGATAACCTCTGATATCTTATCAGATACGATGCCTTTTTTAACCGTGGCGAGGCGTTGTACACGTGCTAAACTTTGATTCGAACCTCATTTCAGGCGATCACTATTAAGAGGAGCTCGAGCGCTCAAGGAGGAGCAGGAAACTATGAGGTTATTACCATTGATGACGATGAAGACATCATCCCCACTGATACCAAAGCGGCAGACAGAATGTCTCGGATGATCACGGTGGCGCACCTCAACGCACAGTCGGGTTCCAGAACCGACTATTTGGCACGAGGAGGCGGAGGCATCCCGCAGAGGGACTACTTGTCCCGAGGTGGGACTCAGACTTTGGGGGGATCGGTGAAGGTCGAGACCGTAACGGCACTGCGCAGCACGCCTCAGTGGCTGACTGCCACCACTGCATCCCTGGCTTCAACCACCAGTGTAGGTATTGCCCCAGTGTTCAGTCAAAAATGGTGTGTGTGAAGTTTTCTGTGTAACAGGTGGCACTTTGAGGTAGCATTTTGTGCAGTGTCTGTTGTCTTTTCACACACACGACAAAGCTGGGAATGAGCAGTTATTTTAAACGCAGCACGCGCCCGGACAGCTGCGTCTGGTGGATTTATAACATCAGTGACATCACGGTCTCTTTGTCTCGTCCTCGTCAGTCAGCTCAGCCCATCGCCCGACCCTCAGCCTCTTCCTATCAGACAATCAGCCACACGGGGTTCCACGGGGCAGCAGCACGGACGCCTCCCACAAATGACCCACCGGCCCCACCAGTAACTGGCTTGGCTCGTTTCCATCAGTCGCTGAGGACTCCCTACAAACTGAACCTGCCAAACGAGCCGGGACGCCCAGACCTCAGACACATCATCATAGACGGCAGCAACGTGGCTATGGCGTGAGTGTAAAAAGAAATTTATACTGAAAAGTCTGGCCTTTTCATACCAAGTAAGATATTCACATTCAGTAAAAACTTTATATAAGAAAACTACTGTTATAGTTTCAGATCCCTCTCATCTGTCGGAGAGTTATTATAAAAGGCACAAAGCTCTTCAGCTAACATCGTTTAAATATAGGTTGTATAAAATGTCTTTTTTTTTCCAAGGTTAGTTAACAAATTGGATGTTTTTTATGTGTTGATGCGTACACCTGAGCTCCAAGCGGGGTATTTAAAAAAAACCACCGTGTCCGTTTTTCACAGGATGCCTCACCATCCTGTGACAAACACGTTTCAGCAGTTTGTAGCTTGTTGTCTTTAGCAGCAGTTCAGCTCAGTCAGGTTTGTGCTCATTTTTTCATGCACCGCTCTCTTAAGGTCCCACAAACAGCCGTTTTCTGGTTCGGCTTTGCTGCTGTGCTTGAGATCAGTGTCCTGTTGCGTGACATTTCAGCAAAGCGTTGGCTGTTGCACAGATGGCTTCACTCTATATACTTTGGTATATAGAGGAGTTCATGGTCAAGTGCAATAAGGTTTCCAGGTGCTGTGGGAGCAAAGCAAAGCTGATTATCAGCCCTCCACCGCTTTTCTTAGCTGTTGCTGTGAGGTGTTTGTGCTAATTTGCAGCTTTTGGTTTTCTCCAAACGTGGTGCTGTGCATCATCTCCACTTTAGTCTCATGTGTCCAATGGACTTTGTTCCTGACATCTTGGTAATCATGTTGGTTCAGCTTAGATGATGAAGAATATGAGCTTGAATATGAAAAAAAGACAAATGTACATATTTGTATGTGTATATTTGCATATTTGTATGCCAGGATTATTCACAAGGTACCATCAAGTACAAAGCTGTGCATGACTCGGGGAATCAGAAGATTTACCAGATGCTTCTTGTTGTAGCTGCAGCATTTTCAGGGCTGTCTGTCTGAATCCCCATCTGCTCCTCTGACCATTATAAATAAGAGATGAGAGCAGAGTGTTAGTCATTTCTTTCAGAGCGAGCATTTCTTAATCATGGCTGTAAGGACAGGATGTTGTAAGTCGCTTGATGACAAATATAATATGTGTTTTGATTGGTGTCACTTCCCGCGCCTGTTTTACTCGTACCACATTTTTCCTTTTTACTAACGAAGCTATCCACCTTCCCATCATCATCATCATCATCAGTTAAGGTCACACCATCTCTGTCACACAATACCATCTGTTGAAGCGCGTAGGTCGCAGCTACAACTGTTGTGTAGGTGCACCAAAACCTTGCCCACGCAGTCACATACTGTTATTAGTCATCATATTTGCGAGTGATTTCACGTGTGTGTGTGTGTGATTGACTGAGCGAAAGCACGTGTAACGGCACAATATTGATGATGTGTGGGGGTGAAACCGTGGGGGTGTTTTTGAGAAGAAAGGCCCTTTCTAGTAAAAAATCTGTATGTTTCTTTCTGATTATTGGATAGGACATTCTTTATGTGTGTAACACAAATTATTGTCTTTCCTCTGTGCTCGCACTCTTCCACCCAGATGACCCTCTCCTGCCCTCTCATTTTTGCAGCTACTTCCTTTGATGTTCTTACTTCATCGTCCCTCCTTACCAGAAGTATGTCTAAAGGAAACACAAGTCAGCACTGTGACTCAGTTTTGATCATTATTGTATCTACACAACGCAAAGTGAGCCAAAATCAATGCAGTCGCTTTCCTGTACAGACACAGGAAGAGATTTTCTTGTATATTTATTGAAATAATAACACCTGCCTTAAATGACTGCAGTAATTTGAGTTTCAGGGATGAAGGCAATGATCCTGAAGGAGGTTATTGGGTTATGTAAAGTTTTGAAATGTGTTCCCTTGTCAGGTTTGCTCGGTGATTTTTAGATTGCATAAGCTCTTCCTGCTGTGTTCTCATTCATCACTTTCTCTATCAGCGGCGAGTGGAACTCCCCCTGACTTTGCACTTTAGGCTCTGACCACAAGCTGAAGTTTATCTTGTTGTGCAGTGTCCGTGTGCGCTCTCTGCCTCGACTCTGTGCATCTGCAAGACGTCTGAGTCGATGGGTTTATCAGCTTTGAGCGTCCGCCCGAGTATGACGAGCCATGTTGTGAAATACGGGGCACTTTCTCACAGCGTTATTACAAGAATGATATTACTGAGATATTAATAAGAATATTATAATGGCACCATTACATTAAGAATTCAGGTAGACATCAAATTTCATAGTGAAAAGTTTCCATTTCACAGTTCTCGTGTTTTAAGGAACTCGCTCTGTGAAGTCTCTACAGTCAAAGATGAATTATCACGTCGATGTTAAAAACAGTTCTGCTTGGTTTTTGGCAGAGTGTATACAGACGGATGTCGTTGCCACTTTCTACCTTTAGCTTGTTGCATCATTATTTTATCTGTTTATTTATTTTTGGTCAGACTTGTGTCACTTTTCCATGTGTGAAGCACTTTAAGGAACTGCTAAGGTTTTAAACGCTGTATGAAGAGTGTGGAGCAGCTGACCAGGATGTGAGCTGGTCATCTCTGCTTTAACTGCAGCACATGTAAGACTAGATTTTTGAACACCATAGTAACTCCGTATACAGGGAAGTAGGCAGGGCAGACAAAACCGGAATTCACATGATGGGGGAAAAAAAAGAATGAACAGAAGCTTCATTCATAAAGCAGCATTTAATTATTTCCTCAAGAACATCAGCTTTCCAAAACAGAAATCTGCAGTTCCAGTCTAGTTTTCCCTGTTTCGTAGTTTATTAGCTGCCGTTGTACATTCAGTTCTTAGTGAAGAAAAGGGGAACTTGTGCCGGTCTGTTTTTGTATATCAAACAGGGGTCACAGAAGCCTTAAAATCTTACAGTAGTAGTGTATAACATTTCCTCTGAAAATAACCATGTGCACAAGATTTCCCCCAAACATAAAAATCCATTGAAGGGCTGTCAGCGTTGGCGTGTGTGCCGTTTCTCCTGAGGTGGTGATTGTTGAGGTGTATGAATGACGCAGGATTAGATTTCACTCAGAAACCTGAGACCACTGAACAAAGTGCCAATAAGGCCAAATACTTAAAAATACCTCCGTGGCTGATAAGATTTTTGTGTCTGTGGATTTCAGCGAGAGAAGCCAACTTCCTGCTGCTGTCAGGGAGTTTCTCATGTCTGCTGCCGTGCGCTGCTTTTGTTGTTCTGTGGTTTTCTGCGTCCTAGCGACCGATGTTGTATTACAGCTATCTGACGTGCGCATATGGAGGTCGTGCACGTCATCGACAACAATCTGGGTCAGCTGACGTTGCGCCCTGTATCGTGTATTTGTTTGGTTTATTAACGAACTCCCGGGTTTTGCCCACACATCACGTTGAATGTGTTTACATGTGTTCAGTGTTTGTGCTTATTGCCTTATTTTTTTTGGGGGGGGGGTTCTGAAGTGTTTCCAAGGTTTCCGTTCCTTTAGTTGACTCTAGATCCTAGTCCTGTGCACATGTTCACTCTTATTTCTCTCTGTGCTTTCAATCCATTTTTTGAATGCTCGTGGAGGGAACAAGGAGCATCTGTAGTTTAATTTGTGGCACTTCCTCACAAGTGGACAGCCTTATCCCTGAGCCTTATTACTGTCCATTACTTCTGTTTTTATGGGTTTTTAGGAGTTGTCTTCTCCAGTTAACTGTGTCCTCCTTCTTCTCGTCCTCACTTCTGCAGTCATGGCCTTCATCGGTTCTTCTCCTGCCGTGGTATAGCACTAGCAGTGGAGACATTTTGGAAGAGAGGACACAGGGAAATCACAGTCTTTGTCCCCCAGTGGCGTCAAAAGAGGGATCGACTAACAACAGGTACGACAGGTCTATACAGGCCAGTCTTCACATGTGTATTAAAAAAATTTAATGGAGTGTCTGTTTGTCTTTCCTTTGGTCCTTTGTTGTCTTGGAGACACAGCCACAAAAAAGCATCAGCAGGCTTGTGATTGTTCCCGTGGGTATTCGATTTATTTACAGTTCATTCACTTGTGATAAATCAATTATTCAAACGGGGTTGCTTTAGTATCAATCGCCTCCGCCCTTTGCTCACTCCTCATGCCACTGCCATTCTCGTCCATACTCTTGTTATCTCTCGAATTGATTACTGTAACTCACTATTATTTGGCCTTACACAAAAATCCATTAACAAGCTGCAACGTGTCCTGAATTCTGGTGCCCGTATTATTACTAGGACTTCCTCTACCCACCACATCTCCCCAATCCTGAAGCAG